AGGAGCACTGAGCAAAGGAGGATGGGAACCCGGGAGAAAGAAGGCACGTAATAGAGGTAGCAGGAGTAGAAGGGGAGGGAATGAGTGGAGGAGTGGGAAACAAAGGCAGCAAAGCTGGAGACTGGGGCACCATGACGACTGAAGAGAGAAACTCTCAGTGCTTCATGAATAGACGGAATCGTTGAACTGGAGAGTGAATTCCAGGACTGGCGTGAGTCTGCTGGAAGTGGAGTGGACAGGACTTGAGCCTCTGCAAAGCTGACCACACAGCTGGGCTAGAGGCTCCAGCTTGGTGTGTACACCACACATTCAGATCCCCCACCCCCACCCCCAGCAGTCACTTCTGCCCCGGGCAGAAGAAGCTGGGAGCTGTCCAGATGTCTGGTGCTGAAAGATCTGGGGTATCACCAGCCTCTCAATCAATGCCTTAGACTCACCCAACAACCACCACATGCCAGCCACTGCACTGAGCGCTGAGAGAGACCAGACACAAATCAAGCAGACACAAATCCCTGTGTGTGTAAAAACTTACATCACAATGGAAAGAGACGAGACAGACACACAGCAGTCAGAAAAGGAGAGAAAAGGCTGGGAGTGTGGCTCAGTGGTAGAGCGCTTGCCTTGCATGATGAAGCCCTGGGTTCAAACCTCAGTACCACATACTCAGAAGAAGATGGAAGTGGAGCTGTGGCTCAAGTGGTAGAGTACTAGCTTTGAGCACAGAGAGGCTCAAGGACAGTGCCCAGGCCCTGAGTCCAAGCTCCAGGACCCACAAATCAAAAAAAAAAAAAAAAAAAAAAAGAAGAAGAAGAAAAGAAAATTAAAGGAGAGAAAACAGGAAGAGAGAATGAAGTTTAGTGAGCCCCGAATAGTGGTCATGTGCTGTTTCTCATAAAGGTGGCTCAGGGGTGTAGGGTGGCCAGGCTGGGGACTGGGCCCTCACATAAAGTATATGCAGAGAGTCTGAGGTGCAGCTCAAGGGAAGAGGGTGTGCTTAGCAGACACAAAGCTGTGGGTTCCATGCCCAGACACTGCTTCTCCCCCCAAGGAAGATGTGTTGATACTGGATCATGAGTCACAGATTCCCATAGGTGGGCACTTTGCCAGAGGTCAGACAAGCATCCTGGCCCCAGCCTCAGCAAGCTGCCCGTTCCTGCTCTGGGGACCTGTTACTCCTCAAACCTCAGACTATAAGCATGAGAAGTGCATTTCCTCCAAATGTGTCCGGCACGGGCTTAGGCCTGAAGCAGGGCCTAAGCAGGGCCTTAGCAGAAGCAGGGCTCTGCTCCAGCAAACTCACTTCCTCACTCCAGCCTCAGTTTACTTGTCTGTGATCTGAGCAGTGAACAGGGTTTGAGGAGCTGCCAAGGCAAATGTGGCGTGAGTCCTCCCTGCCATCCACGCGGGAGGGGACAGGTCCCTTTTCTCTGTGCTGTCCTTCCAGTCCCCCAGGCTCACTGTGGGGATGGAGTCCTATCAATGAGAATGAATGAAGTAGGTGGGAGCAATATCTCATATTCCCAGAAAGCTTCCTGGCTTTTCTGTTCACCATACAGATATGTCCTTGAAGAGTACCAGCTTGTTGGGGGTTGGCAGGGGGCACAAGGGGATAGATGGCTGATTAGGAACAGCAGAGCCTTGGGGCTGGGAAGGTGGCTCAGTGGCAGAGTGCTTGCCTTCCATGCATGAGGCCCTCGCTTCGATTCCTCAGCACCACATAAGCAGAAAATGCCGGAAGTGGGACTGAGGCTCAAGTGGTTGAGCGCTAGTCTACAGCTGAAGAGCTGAGGGACAGTGCCCTGGCCCAGAGTTCAGGCCCCACGACCGACAAAAACAATAAAAAAGGAACAGCAGAGGCTGAGACTCCAATTCTGAGTGGGTCGGGTCGTCCAGTGTGGGCCCCTGGAATCTTGTCCTGGAGACACTTAGGTGCAAGAAGGCCTGAGGGCAGAGAAGTTTTGGATTCCAGCACACTCCCCTTTCCTGTGAGACTCCCAGTGCTCATCCCCAAATCCAGGCTGTGGGAGACTCATTCATGACCTTACCTAACTCTGCTGGCAAGAGCACTTTCCCTCTCAGGCCTACAATGCCCAAAGACATCCCACTGGGGCCCGCCCCCTCAAAGATTGCCCCCGCTCAACAGTGCCATCCTGGGCACTAAACCTTTTATCCCAGGCTCCTTTTAAGGAGACATTCGGTTTACTCTGCAGCTGTTTTCTGGGCTGGGGTTAAAAAAGGGCTTTGAGAATCCTTGTTCCAAGGGCATGATTTTGGGGGTGTGCAGGACTCTGTGACCTCAGCATTTAGTGTGTATCAACCACATGACAGATGCTCAGAGGGGAGCGGATGGATGGAAGGACGGATGGAGATGTCATTCTGTTCACTTCCAAATGTTAAGAATGATGCAAGGTGAGAGATTAGAGCTTCAAGGACTCTGGGCAGGGCTAATCTTAGCTTCCTTGACACCAGTTTGGCTGGGGAACTGATACACTTCATTCATTCATTCATCTATTCACCCACTCATTTATTCACAAACATGGGCTGATATGTGCTCAGTGAGAAGTCGGCTCCAAGGACCAGGAGAGGATTATTAACTAAACATGGGGGTGAGGGAGACCAAGGCTGGCTTTCTGGAGGTAAACCTGAAGGTCTTTTTGGAGGACTGACCTCAGGGTTCCAGCCCTCATGGCATTTTTTCCAGGCACGAAAATAATGCGTGGAGCTGCTTGGTACATTGGCAATACAATCCAACAGCTGTGGTCCCATGGTCCCAACAAATCCATCTTGCTCCTTCTTTTATCCACCCCCCCACATCATTCCTCCTTGCTGTCAGCCTCCTCACACCCAGAGAAAGTATCCGCATACTGCAGACACTGAAGACATTCAAAGGAACGAGGATCTTATGGCAGAATTCCAAGCAGGATGAAATATAAAAGGGACCCTAGGAGAGCACAGGGGATCCAGCCCAGCCCTCCCACCCCCATGCCTTCCTCCTATGCCTCCGGCCAGCCATTCACCTCATCCACCCAGCCACCTCTGAAAACGAGCCCCTCTGCCTCCTGCAAACCAGAGCAGGGCTGGGTGAGGTGAAAATGCTTCATCACGGTCTGCTTCACCATGCGGAGTCCCTTCCCCCTCCCCACGACTCCCTAGCGCACTCTCCTTCCAAGAAAACGTGGTTAAAGGGGCAGCGCCATCACACTCCCAGCGCTGAGGGTCTGCCTGGCACCAGGGGCTGGGAATGAGGGTGAGGGCAAAGAAAAAAGGAGATGGCGGAGGTCTTTCCTGGGAGATCTGTCTGGCCCCATCATGGGGACCCAATCGAAAAATAAAATGAGTAAACTTGGGGTGGTACTGGGGCTTGAGGGAGGTTCAGATCTGGAAGGGGAATGCACACTGATTTCCCAGGGGGGAATCAGGGCTCCGAGCATTTCAGGGGCTCCTTTCAGGCTCCCAGTGGAGGAGGGAGACAACTCAAGCACATGTAGAGAACTTTACAGAAAGCAGGGAACAAGATCCCTAATAGACTTAGGGGTGTCACTGTGTGCCCCTCAGGCTGCTCCCCCAGCCCCTCCTCAGCTCCCATCCACACAGCACTGGGGCCCACCAGTCGGCCTGCGGAGGCCTTGCACACCTCCTTCCCCTCCCGGTAGGGAAACGGTTAACTCATTCCCCTCCAAGAAGGAGTGGACTCTGTCCGTGGTGCTGAAGTGCTAGCCACATCGCCCTTCACTAGGCCAGTTTGCGGCGAACCAAAAACCAAGAGCCTCCTAACGAAGCAGCTGCACGCATCCCCAAATCCAAGGGACCTCCCTCCCCCCGGCCCCATTAGGGAGAAAGGGACTGGCACTCTCCGTGCCTCCCAGCACTTCCCAGAGAGCAAGAGGGTGGCAGGTTGTCTGCTGCGGGGGCGAGGGTGAGAGTCCCCCTGTGGGGGACAAGCTGAGGCTGAGGCGCCGAGGGGAGGAGGAAGACGGACCTTCCCATGGTGGGAACGCAGTCACATCCACAGGCAATATGTGGGTTCCCTCCCCCAAAGGGGAAGCTCCTGGTGCAGCTGGGGGTCCTACGTTGCAGCTTACCCCTAAGACAAGCCCCCCCCCCCGCCTTGTACGTATAGGAAACGCACTTGTCCAAGGTCACTCAGCCAGCAAACCAGAGTGGACCCCCCCCCCCCAGGGTGCAGCACGCAGCTTGGGTGTTCCTGCTCCTACACCCAGCCCCGGTTCCTCCTGCAGGCCCAGGGGACCCTCCGCCTTCTCTGAGCGTCCCTCCTGCGGTTTCCACTTCCAGTCTTGGGGGACACTCGTTTTGGAGAGCTGTGGCCCCGCGCTCATCCTGGGCTTCCTTTCCTCCACCCTTGCCAGGGTCTCCCGTATCCCCCATTCGGGGCAGCCTGGGGCCGTCCTTCCCCACGCCAGGCTCCCCTCCCGTAATCGGGTGGCCCTCAATGAGGGGGCCATTGCCCCTCCATCACGCAGTCCCCATCCCCCATGGGCGTCCCCACCCACGGCTGCCTCGCTCCCTCCCCTACTCCGGGCCGGCCGTACCCCCTACGCCAAGAGTCTAACTCTGAGGGGAACCTTGCGTCCCTCTCCTCCTGCCGCCGCGCCCCGCACCGAGGCCTCCTGGTCTCCTTGTCCTGTACCTCGAGTGCCCCCAGCGCTCCCCGCGGGCCCCAAAGGCCTCTGCCTCCCCCCACCCCCACCCCACCCCCACCCAGGCCCTGACCTCGGGAGGCTCGGCGGACGCTGCGACGCTCCTCCGTCCCGCCCCGCCCCTCTCACTGCGGCGGAGCGGGGCCGGCCGGGGCCGCGGGGGAGGAGGCGGGAGGGCGGGGCCCTCCGCCCAGCCCCCTACTGCCGGGGGGCCGGACCCCGGGCCGCGGCGGCTATAAAAGAGCCGGCGTCCCAGCGCTGCCGCAGTGCCGCCTGCCCCGGTTCCGGCCCCCGCTCTCCGGTCCCGGCTCCGCCGGCGGCGGCCCGCACCTGCTCGCGGCCATGATGAGCTTCGGCGGCGGCGGCGCGGAGGCGCTGCTGGGCGGCCCGTTCGCGCCGCTGCACGGAGGTGGCGGCGGCCTGCACTACGCGCTGGCCCGCAAGGGCGGCGCGGGCGGCTCGCGCTCGGCGGCCGGCTCCTCCAGCGGCTTCCACTCGTGGGCGCGGACGTCCGTGAGCTCCGTGTCGGCTTCCCCCAGCCGCTTCCGCGGGGCGGGCGCCGCCTCGAGCACCGACTCGCTGGACACGGTGAGCAACGGGCCGGACGGCTGCGTGGTGGCGGCGCGCAGCGAGAAGGAGCAGCTGCAGGCGCTCAACGACCGCTTCGCCGGCTACATCGACAAGGTGCGGCAGCTCGAGGCGCACAACCGCAGCCTGGAGGGCGAGGCGGCGGCGCTGCGGCAGCAGCAGGCCGGCCGCGCCGCCATGGGCGAGCTGTACGAGCGCGAGGTGCGCGAGATGCGCGGCGCCGTGCTGCGCCTGGGCGCGGCGCGCGGGCAGCTGCGCCTGGAGCAGGAGCACCTGCTGGAGGACATCGCGCACGTGCGCCAGCGCCTCGACGACGAGGCCCGGCAGCGCGAGGAGGCCGAGGCGGCGGCGCGCGCCCTCGCGCGCTTCGCGCAGGAGGCCGACGCGGCGCGGGCGGAGCTGCAGAAGAAGGCCCAGGCGCTGCAGGAGGAGTGCGGCTACCTGCGGCGCCTCCACCAGGAAGAGGTGGGAGAGCTGCTCGGCCAGATCCAGGGCTGCGGCGCCGCGCAGGCGCAGGCGCAAGCCGAGGCGCGCGACGCCCTCAAGTGCGACGTGACGTCGGCGCTGCGTGAGATCCGCGCGCAGCTGGAAGGCCACGCGGTGCAGAGCACGCTGCAGTCCGAGGAGTGGTTTCGAGGTGCGCATGCGCGCGGGGATGCGGGAGGGGGGGGAGAGAGCGCCCCCTGCCTCCCAGGCAGAGAGCAGCAGGGCGATTGGACAGTAGGTTCCCTCTGCAAGGGGCGTGCTACCTATCAATGAAGTCCCAGTTCTAATGGGGTCTTCTAAGTGGGACAGCCCACCTCTGGGGTTCTCCTTTGGCTGCCCTCCGCCCGGTTTTCTCTGTCCCTCACGCAAAATTAGGAGACCCCAGTCTGAGTAGGTCTCCTTCAAGAATAGAACAGACTCCTCTATAGATCCTGGTTTTCAGCCCATGCGTCCCCTGCCCAACCCGTTCATCCCTCTTTCCTGCACCCCCATTCTTTTATCAGGCTGCTTCCCACAACCTGCGCAGTGGGTAACCCCACCTTAATCTGCCCTGGGAGCTAAAGGGGTGGGGCGTTTTTACATCCTTTCTTCCCTGGGTGGGACCAGCCCGCAAAGCAACGTCTACAGAATGGCTGAAACAACGCATGAGCTAGTTATAATACCTGCTCTTGGGCTGGGAATGTGGCTTAGTGGTAGAGTCCTTGCCTAGCATGTATGAGCCCTGGGTTCAATTCCTCAGTAGCACATACACAGAAAAAGCCAGAAGTGTTGCCGTGACTCAAGTGGTAGAGCTCTAGCCCTGAGCACAGAGGCTTAGGACCCAGTCCCTGAGTTCAAGCCCTAGGAATGGCAAAAAAAAAAAAAAAAAAAGCCTCTTCTTCAGGAAAGCTGAGTCTTCCCAACCCCCACCCCCTTCCTCAAGTTGCCCAGTCCTGAGTCAGCAAGACTGCAGCTGCCCTGAAGCTGTGCCTAGTGGCTGCAGGGTGACCTTGATCCACAGCCAGCCCTCTCCGGTTTTCATTTCTTTTTGACCTGAAAAATCAGGATGGGTTTCCCAACCTGGAGAGTTCCCCTGACCACTTTTGAAACTGTATTGTCTATGTATTGTTCTGTGTCACCAATGGTTTTTCAGAGTACCATGGTAGCTGAGAATTCTTATCCACCGGATGGTTTCTAAATCTTTGCCAGCATAGCACAGAAAGCCAAGAAATGCTGGAGTCTGGATGCTTGGAATTTCCCTGTCTTTTTTCCACACCCCTCTGCAGTGATAGAGCGGTCCCCTCCCCCATCACTGCAGTAAGGCCCCTCCCAGAGAGGACTCTGTATTTGCCTTTCACTCAGGCAGACCACTGCAGGATTTGTAGCCCTACCAGCATCCTGTAGTGGTCTCAAACGACTGTGATCCTAGCTACTCAGGAGGCTGAGATCTGAGGGATCACTGTTTGAAGCCAGCCTGGGCAGGCAAGCCTGTGAGACTCTTACCTCTAATTAACTACTAAAAAAGCCAGAAGTGGAGCTGTGGCTCAAGTGGTAGAGCACTAGCCTTGAGCAAAAAAGCACACAGACAGCATCTAGGTCTGAGTTCAAGCCCCAAGACTGGCACACACACACAAAAAAGACTCAAGCTCTGGGTGCTGCTACTTACGGATTCAGGATAGACAGCAGTCTTCAGATTTTCATCGGTCCCCTTGAGATCTTCTGGGAGCCAGGAGATGGTTGCTGGCAGGTGCTCCAGTGCTAAGGAATGTATAGTCAGGTGGGGGAAGGGACAGAGGGCTAGCACACAGGCCTCAGGATCTGCAGTGACCTTGGACTCTACATGGAAGTATCATAGTGACATGATGACCTGGCTTATTCATTTGTTCAACAGCTCAGCATTCAGCCTCACAGACTAGATTTCACATCTGAGTCCCCTTATGCAAGTTCCTTGCTGGGGAGCTGAATCAGACATTCAGACCAGAAATGAGGGCTTCCTTTCCCCTGCATGGTATAGGGGTGGATCCAAAGCTCAGGAAGACAAAAAGAGTCTGACCTTTGGAGCCAGGTAGACTCTAGATTCGAATCCCATTGTGCCACATTAGCTGCATGGCCTTGGACAGTAGTCACTTGTCTGGGCTGGGAAGGTGGCTCAGTGGTAGAGCACTTGCCTTGCATGCCTGAGGCCCTGGGTTCGATTCCTCAGCACCACATAAGCAAAAACAAAAAAGCCGAAAGTGGTGCTGTGGCTCAAGTGGTAGAGTGCTAGCCTTGAGCTGAAGAGCTGAGGGACAGCGTCCAGGCCCAGAGTTCAGGCCCCATGACCGGACCCCCCCCCCCCCAAAAAAAAAAAGAAAAAAAGTAGTCACTTGTCTATCTCATAGGAGAGGATAAGAATCCAGAATGGTGCCTGGCACCTGGCAGGTGCTCAATCTATGTGTGTCACCTTCCAGATCTGGGCACTGGAAGCCTGATCCAGGTGTCTAATCTTATGCCTTACTCTCCTCCTTCTCCATCTAGTGAGACTGGACCGCCTGTCGGAAGCAGCCAAAGTGAACTCAGATGCCATGCGCTCAGCCCAGGAGGAAATCAGTGAGTACCGGCGTCAGCTGCAGGCCAGGACCACAGAGCTGGAGACACTGAAAAGCACCAAAGATTCCCTCGAGAGACAGCGCTCTGAGCTGGAGGACCGTCACCAGGCTGACATTATGTCCTACCAGGTGGGCAAGGGAAGGGCAGAGGGCCAGGCTGCTTCTCCTGGGTGGGTGAGCCTGGGTAAACCACTGCCCCTCCGTGAGCAGGATGTATTGGTGAAGACCATTCACCTCAGAATCTGACACCCCACTACTTTCTAGATGGGTGAGTCCAGGAGAGTTACCTGCCTGTCTGAATTAGAATGCAGAGAAGAAACACAACAAAAGGAACAAATACCCACTTTGCCAAGCTGTGAAGGCTAAAAGAGAGACAAACCTGAGAGTGCTCAGCCAGGTCTTGGTCACAGTGGACATTGGGTTCATAGTAACCAGTGCCTGTGGGAGGGGTCTTGGCAGAGTCCTCCAGTTAAAGACAAACTGTAAGTGAAAATGTTACTCTCAAAAGAACAAGGAGGCCGGACACTGGTGGCTCACGCCTGTAATCCTAGCTACTCAGGAGGCTGAGATCTGAGGATCACAGTTCAAAGCCAGCCCGGGCAGGAAAGATTGTGAAACTCCTATCTCCAATAAACCACCAGAAAACCGGAAGTGACGCTGTGGCTCAAGTGGTAGAGCGCTCGCCTTGAGCTGAAGAGCTGAGGGACAGTGCCCAGGCCCAGAGTTCAAACCTCATGACCGCCAAAAAAAAAAAAGAACGAATACTTAATGATTGTAGAGACATTAGGAGACAGAGACACAAAGAGAAGAAAATAAAAAATAGATCATTTTAAGCAATGGCCATAGAGAGCTTGGAGTAAAGGAAATTTTAACTTCTTCTTATGCTCTGTTGTATCATCTCATGTACCAGGTCAGTGATAACAAATGAGTACCATGTGCTAGGAACATTGGGGTATTGGAGAGAGAAACAGAGGAAGGAAAAGCAATTGTGACCCTCCTCTGAGCAGTTTTGTTTGTCTGTTTTACAGTATTAGAGATCAAATCCTAAAGCCTTGTACAAGCTAGGCAAATGCCCTTTACTGAGCTACAATCCCTGAACCATTCATGAAACATTTTCTCTTTTTTTGTCTTTTCTTTTTCTTTTTCTTTTTTTTTAGTCATAGGGCTTGAATTCAAGGCCTGGGTGCTGCCTCTGAGCTTTTTTTGATCAAGGCTAGTGCTTTGCCACTTTGAGACATGGCTCCACTTCCAGTTTTCTGGTAGTTAACTGGAGATAAGAATCTCATTGACTTTCCTGCCCAGGCTGGCTTTGAACCTCTATCCTCAGATCTCAGCCTCCTGAGTAGCTAGGATTACAGGCGTGAGCCGTCAGTGTCTGGCTTTCATGAAACTTTTTTGTTTTTGTCAGTCCTGGAGCTCAAACTCTGAACCTGGGCACTGTCCCTCAGCTCTTCAGCTCAAGGAGAGTGCTCTACCACTTGAGCCACAGCACCACTTCCAGTTTTCTGGTGGTTTATTGGAGATAAAGAGTCTCATGGACTTTTCCTGCCCAAGCTGGCTTTGAACGGCAATCCTCAGATCTCACCCTCCTGAGTAGCTAGGATTACAGGCATGAGCTACTAGTGCCCAGCTATAAACTACCTCTTTTTTTTTTTTTTTCCAAGTCCTGGGACTTGAACCCAGGGACTGGTCACTGTCCCTGTGCTTCTTTTTCTCAAGGCTAGCTCTCTACCACTTGAGCCACTCATGAAACGTTTTCTAAGCTTAAGAGATCTATAAAACTTCACTCTGTTGACCAGATCCATGTCTGATGTGTTTTCATTCTAGACCTTTCTCCAGGCTAAGATTTTTTGCTACAGATTTTTCCATGTCCACAAATGAAGACCCTGCTACTTTGATGGGATGGGGTTTGGTCCCCAGTGGGCCTAGCTAGCTGGGCAGGGCTATTATGGGCCCCAGCTTCCCTGGTGTTGGGGGCCAGGCACTGGCTGGCCAGTGACTTGTGTGACCTGTCATCTCCAGGAAGCCATTCAGCAGTTGGACAATGAGCTGAGGAATACAAAGTGGGAGATGGCAGCCCAACTGCGGGAATACCAAGACTTACTCAATGTCAAGATGGCCTTGGATATTGAGATTGCTGCTTATAGGTGAGTGGACCATGAATCCTGGGGTGGTGGAGAGCCTTGGGTTCTGATAAAGCACTAAGCCTTGGATTTCAAGTCCTATGTGGACAGCCTGCTTGCATTAGAGACAAGTCTTTATTTATTTTGGTCCTATATGTCACATAAAAGTTGCCATTTAACCAGTGCAATTTTGTGATCCGGTGTTGTGAGCCACCAGTGCTGTCTTTCTTTCTCTCTCTTTAAACCAAGGAAGAAATGGAGTTCTTAAGAGTATGGCCACCTAGTAAGTAGGAAAACCAAGAGGAGAAATTGCTACCACCACCTTTCCCTAAACCCGAAATATAACAATAAAAAGTGACAGGAAAAATTCAAATGGCAACATTCTAAGACTTCTTAAATCTAAATTTATAATTGGGATTATTTGTTCCATTTTTTTCTTTCTTTTTCTTCAATCCTGAGGATCAAAAACACACAGTTAGTACTTCTAGATTCCTAATTTTCTCCTCTAAATATCTATATCTATATTTATATATGTGAATATAATATATATGTACATTTGGTGCCAGTACTAGGCTTGGGGCTTGAACTGAGGGCCTAAGCACTGTCCTTTAGCTATTTTGCTCAAAGCTGGTACTCTACCACTTGAACCAGACCTTCACTTTGGACTTTTTGGTGGGTAATTAGAGATAAGAGTGTTAAGGATAAGCTGGGTTCCAGTGGATCACAGCCTATAATCCTAGCTACTCAGGAGGCTAAGATCTAAGAATCATGGTTTGAAGCCAGCCCAGGCAGAAATGTCTGTGAGACTCCTATCTCCAATTAATCACAGAAAAAGCTGGCTCAAGTGGTAGAATGCCAGCCCTAAGCAAAAGAAGCTCAGAGACGGTGACTAAGTCTTGACTTTAAGCAGTAGGTCCAGAACAAAAATAAAAGAGTGTCAAGGACTTCCCTGCCAGGGCTAGCTTTAAACCAAAATCCTCACATCTCAGTCTCCTGAGTAACAAGGATTACAGGCAGTAGCCCTCAGAGCCTATCTTCTCTTGAATATTTTATTCAAGGGATAATAAATGTACCTTCTTTAAGGTAAGAGTTTTTATTTGCTGAGTGACTTTCTCTATTCTCAAAGTGCCTACTGTGGAGAGTGTAGCTCAGTTGTAGAGTGTGTGCTTAGCATAGTTCCATCCTTAACACCTTTTGAGATAAGTTTAAGATTCCTATCAATAGTAAAAGGAGAAAAAATAACAAAACTAAGAAAGGAAGAAAGAAGTTAAGGAAGAAAACCCTACCATCCACTCACATCCTTTCCTTTACCAAAGTCTGCAGCATTGGATACTACAGAGTTTCAGGAAAACCAAGGAAGATCCCAGGCCTCCAAATGTGCTCTGAGTTAGTAGTGATGTGTTTTGTTATCCATTCTACAGAAAACTCTTGGAAGGCGAAGAGTGTCGGATTGGCTTTGGCCCCAGTCCTTTCTCTCTCCCAGAGGGACTCCCGAAAATTCCCTCTACATCCACTCACATAAAAGTCAAAAGTGAAGAGAAGATCAAGGTGGTAGAAAAGTCAGAAAAGGAAACCGTGATTGTGGAGGAACAGACAGAAGAGATCCAAGTGACTGAGGAAGTGACTGAAGAAGAGGAGAAAGAGGTCCAAGAGGAAGAAGGGGAAGAAGAGGAGGAAGCAGAAGAGGCAGGAGAAGAAGAAGAAGAAGAAAAAGAAGCAATAGCAGCAAAATCTCCCTCAGCAGAAGAGGCCGCATCCCCAGAAAAGGAGATGAAATCCCCAGTGCAGGAAGAGACCAAGTCCCCAGTGAAGGAAGAAGCAAAATCACCAGCTGAGGCCAAGTCCCCCGCTGAGGCGAAATCCCCTGAGACAGCCAAGAGTCCAGCAAGGGAGGAAGCCAAGTCCCCAGAGAAGGCCAAGTCTCCCGTGGAAGAGGTCAAGTCCCCAGACAAGGTCAAATCCCCTGCAGAGATCAAGTCCCCTGAGAAGGTCAAGTCCCCAGAGAAAGAAGAAGCCAAGTCCCCTGAGAAGGCCAAGACTCTGGATGTGAAGTCTCCAGAAGCCAAGACCCCAGTGAAGGAAGGAGCAAGGTCTCCTGCAGATGTCAAATCCCCGGAAAAGGCCAAAAGCCCTGTGAAGGAGGAAGCCAAGGCTCCAGAGAAGACCAAGTCCCCCGTGAAGGAGGAAGCCAAGTCCCCGGCAAAGGAGGAGGCCAAGTCCCCTGCGAAGGAGGAGGCCAAGTCCCCGGCGAAGGAGGAGGCCAAGTCCCCTGCGAAGGAGGAGGCCAAGTCCCCTGCGAAAGAGGAGGCCAAGTCCCCTGCGAAGGAGGAGGCCAAGTCCCCTGCGAAGGAGGAGGCCAAGTCCCCTGCGAAGGAGGAGGCCAAGTCCCCTGCGAAGGAGGAGGCCAAGTCCCCTGCGAAGGAGGAGGCCAAGTCCCCTGTGAAGGAGGAGGCCAAGTCCCCTGCAAAGGAGGAGGCCAAGTCTCCAGAGAAAGCCAAGTCCCCTGTGAAGGAAGAGGCCAAGTCCCCTGCGAAGGAGGAGGCCAAGGCTCCTGTGAAGGAGATTCCCAAAAAGGAAGAGGTAAAGTCCCCTGTAAAGGAGGAGGTGAAAGCCAAAGAACCCCCAAAGAAGGCAGAGGAAGACAAGACTCCAGCCACACAAAAAGCCGAGGGAAAGGACAGCAAGAAGGATGAGAGTCCCAAAAAGGAGGCCTCAAAGCCCGTGGCTGAGGAGAAGAAGGAAGCTGCTGTGGAAAAGCCCCAAGAACCCAAAGTGGAAGCCAAGAAGGAAGAGGGTGGAGATAAGAAAAAAGCAGCAACCCCTGAGAAGGAGGCTCCTGCCAAGGTGGAGGTGAAGGAAGAGGCTAAACCCAAAGAGAAGACAGGGGAGGCTAAAGCCAAAGAGCCCAGCAAACCTGCAGAGAAAGAGCCAGACAAGTCAAAGAAAGAAGAGACACCAGCAGCACCAGAAAAGAAAGATACCAAAGAGGCAACAGAAGGCAAGAAGCCCGAGGAGAAACCCAAAGCAGAGGCCAAGGGTAAGGAGGATGACAAAAGCCTCCCTAAAGAGCCCAGCAAGGAGGCCCCTGCGCCCAGCAAACCCAAGACAGAAAAGGCTGAAAAATCCTCCAGCACAGACCAAAAAGACAGCAAGCCTCCAGAGAAGGCCGCAGAGGACAAGGCCGCCAAGGGGGAGAAGTAAAGCGGGGAGAAAGAAAACATCCAGAGCAGCCAAAGAAACTCAGGAGGGTCCCGGAGCTCAAGGGTCAGTGTAATGAATTTTCCTTTCCTTTTGTCCTCCCTTTTTCTTTCTGTAAGAGGAAACTGGCCATGGGCCCTCCGTCACCAAATAAGAATTCCTTTTAGTAATTGGATAGCAAGAGAGAGTACACTCAGCTCCAGTACACACTGGAGTGTACTCTTCAACCCTCCCAAGGCGATGGACAATTATGTTATGATAGCTTCCGTAGCCGAATGTGATGTATGCTGAATGCCACACATAAACACTTGACTTCAGAAACTGCCCCCTCCTTTCCAATTAAGTGCATTAATTTCCTGTATGTACCACTGACAGATGACCGCAATAATGAATGAGCAGTTAGAAACGCATAATGCTTGAGATGTCTTAACCTATTCCCGAATGCCTTCTGTTTTCCAAACGAGTGGTCAGGTCCCAGCCCAGCGCTCTTACTGTGGAAGAGCTGCGGCAGGCAGGGCTGGGCACTGGCCACCAAATCACACAGGGCCTGCCTCCCGCTGGAGTCCACTTTCAATTGCTTCTGTGCAATAAAACCAAGTGCTTCTAAGATGAAGTGTGTCTTCTGTTGTTTGTTCTGTTCTCCTGGAAACACAGGGGCAGGAGAGATAATAGATAATACACCTGACCCTCTATGGCACTGAGAGAGCATCCAACCAAGTTCTCTGAAGCTCTGGTCTGTCCACAGTTGGTTGGCCATTCCTTGAACCAATGAATTTCCCTCTTTTAGAGTTCATTATGGGTTATGGCTTTGTCACAATCACAACAGTTAGTTCTGAATGATCAGCGGCTGAAAGAGATGGAGGCTATGCTAGAACCAAATGATGGTATCTCCAGGAAGGAGCAAAGATCTGTCCATGTCAACTCCTCAGGCCACTGACCATGGCCATGTGTCACTTTCGGCACCCTTCTCCATCTGTCACAAAGTGTGTGTGTGTGTGCGTGTGTGTGAGAGAGAGAGAGAGAGAGTGTGTGCGTGTGTGAGAGAGAGAGAGAGAGAGAGAGAGTGTGTGCGTGTGTGAGAGAGAGAGAGAGAGAGAGAGAGAGAGAGTGTGTGTGTGTGAGAGAGAGAGATCTGGGACTCAGACTCAGGGCTTGGGAGCTATCCCTGTGCTTTTTACTCAAAGCTAGAATTCTAACTGGATTAATTGGAAATAAGTCTCAGAGACTGTTCCTCAGCCTGGCTTCAAACCTTGATCTTCAAATATCAGCCTCCTGAGTAACTAGTATTACAGGTGTGAGCCACCCGCACTTGGCCATGCAGCCATTGCGCGCGCTCTCTCTCTCTGTCTTTCTCTCTCTCTTTCTCTCTCTCTGTCACTCTCTCTGTCTGTCTCTTTCTTTCTCTCTCTGTCTTTCTCTCTCTGTGTCACTCTGTCTCTGTCTCTCTCCCTCCTCCCTCTCTCTGTCTCTGTCTCTCTCTCTCTGTCTCTCTCCTTTTTTTTTTTTTGGTGCTGGGCCTAGAGTTCAAATGCAAGGCCTGGTGCCGTCCCTAGGCTTTTTTGCTCAAAACTAGTGTTCTTACCATTTGAGCCACAGCTTCACTTCCAAAGCTTTTTGGTAATTAATTGGAGATAAACGTTGCACAGACTATCCTGCCCTGACTTGCTTTGAACTACTATCCTCAGATCTCAGTCTTGTGGGTAGCAAGGATTACAGGTGTGAGCCATCAGCATCCAGTTCAAGGTCTAAATTTTAGAAGAATGCCAAATCAGTTTAGGGTGGTCATATTTAAATGACGTGTTTTTTTTTGTTGGGTCCGGTCGTGGGGCCTGAACTCTGGGCCTGGGCGCTGTCCCTCAGCTCTTCAGCTCAAAGCGAGCGCTCTACCACTTGAGCCATAGCGCCACTTCCGGCTTTTTTCTTTTTGCTTATGTGGTACTGAGGACTCGAACCCAGGGCCTCATGCATGCAAGGCAAGCGCTCTACCACTGAGCCACCTTCCCAGCCCCTTAAATGACGTTTTATTGACTACTTTTCTGTGGCACTGGGATCAAAGCCAGGGCCTCATCATGCCAGGCAAGTACTCTACCATTGAGCTACACGCCCAGCCCCAAAGGGTCTTTAAATCCCATTTTAGAAATGATTCTGATTGGCTGTTATCTTAGATTATGAAACATGTCCAAGAACTGAACCTTTAAGCATTATTTTTTTTGGAGGGATGGTACTGGGGTCAAATTCAGGGCCTCATGTTTACTCTGTTTGCTTGCTTACACTGTCTAGACTCTATCACATGAAATATGCCTCCAGTTCCATGCATTAATTTTTTGATAATTTGCAGGCCTGTCCTGGGTATATCAGACCTCACTATTAAAATAGGCATCAAGGTATTTACTATTTAAAGTATTCATCTTGAAAAATATCCACATTGCTGAGTGCCAGTGGCTCACACTTGTAATCCTAGCTACTCAGGAGACTGAGATCCAAGGATCAAGCTTAGAAGCCAGCCCAGGTAGGAGAGTCTGTGAGAGGCCAGATGCTGATGGCTCATGCCTGTAATCCTAGCTACTCAGGAGGCCAAGACCTGAGGATTGCCGTTCAAAGCCAGCCTGGGCAGGAAAGGCTGTGAGACCCTTTTTTTTTGTCCGTCATGGGGCTTGAACTCTGGGCCTGAGTGCTGTCCCTCAGCTCTTCAGCTCAAGGAGAGCACTCTACTACTTGAGCTACAGTGCTACTTCCAGTTTTCTGGTGGTTTATTGGAGATAAGAGTTTCATGGACTTGGGGGGGGGGGGCGGGGGAGGATGGGAAGGGATGGGAAGGGGAAACAAAGGAGGAAGCTACAATGCTTGATAAGAAATGTACTCATTATCTTGCTCATGTAATTGTAACCCCTCTGTACAGTATTTTCACAATAAAAAAAAAAGTTTCAGGGGCTGGGAAGGTGGCTCAGTGGTAGAGCGCTTGCCTTGCAAGCCTGAGGCCCTGGGTTCGATTCCTCAGCACCATATAAGAAAAAAGAAAAAAGCCGGAAGTGGCACTGTGGCTCAAGTGGTAGAGTGCTAGCCTTGAGCTGAAGAGCTGAGGGACAGCGCCCAGGCCCAGAGTTCAGGCCCCACGACCAGACCCCCCCCCCCCCCAAAAAAAAAGAAAAGTTTCATGGACTTTCCTGCCTGGGCTGGCTTTGAACTGATCCTCAGATCTCAGCCTCCTGAGTAGCTAGGATTACAGGCGTGAGCCCCCAGAGCCTGGCTGGCTATGAGACTCTTATATCCAATGAACCACCAGAAAACCAGAAGTGGTGTTGTGGCTTCAAGTGGTAGAACACTAGCCTTGAGCAAAAGAGCTCGGGGACAACACCCAGGCCCTGAGCTCAACCTGACAAAACAATAAATAAACAAACAAATAAAAATAAATAAAAAATAGTCTGTGACGTTCTTACCTACAATTAGCAAAAAGCTGGAAGTGGGCAGGCACTGATGGCTTATGCCTGTAATTGTAGCTACTCAGGCAGTTGAGATCTGAGGATAGTGGTTTGAAGCCAGCCTGGGCAGTTAAGTCTGTGAAACTCTACTTCCAATTAACCACAAAAAGCTGAAAGAGGAGCTATGGCTCAAGTGGTAGAGTGCTTGCCTCGAGCCAAAAGCTCAGGGATAGAGCCTAGGCCTAGAGGTCAAGCCCCAGGACCTGCACACACAAAAAAAGCTGGAAGTAGCTGGCACGGGTGGCTCATGTCTGTAATCCTAGCTACTCAGGAGGCTGAGATCTGAGGATCATGGTTCAAAGCCAGCCTGGGCAGGAAAGTCCGTGAGACTCTTCTCTCCAATAAACCACTAAGGAAACAGGAAATGGCGCTATGGCTCAAGCGGTAGAGTGCTTTGAGCTGAAGAATACAGGGACAGCGCCCAAGCCCAGAGTTCAAGCCCCATGACAAAAAAAAAAAAAGCTGGAAGTAGAGGTGTAGCTCAAGTGGTAGAGCCTAACCCTGAGCAAAAAATGCCAAGGGAGCCAGGCGCTGGTGGCTCACGCCTGTAATCCTAGCTACTCAGGAGGCTGAGATCTGAGGATCGCGGTTCAAAGCCAGCCCGGGCAGGAGAGACCGTGAGACTCCTATCTCCAATAAAACACCAGAAAAACCGGAAGTGGCGCTGTAGCTCAAGTGGTAGAGCGCTCGCCTTGAGCTGAAGAGCTGAGGGACAGCGCCCAGGCCCCGAGTTCAAGCCCCACAACCGACAAAAAAAAAAAAAAAAATGCCAAGGGAGAATCTGAGGTCCTGAGACCAAGACCGGGTACCAATATATCCCCCAACACATACACACACACACACATCCACATCGATTAGACAGAATCTATAGGGTTTCTCTCTAAGGAAAAAAATCAGACTTTGGGATGAGTAGCCACATGCCCATCCTGGAATGAGTTACAGTGGCCAGGGAGGAGGGAAGACAATGACTTGACCTGCCAGGTCATCTGTTTAACTCTAGATGCAGAGACAGATAAGCATATCTGAATCACAGACCTGACACTTCAGAGCCCAGGGATAAAAAGTGTCCTAAGAGCTTCCTGAGAAAAAAAGCTGAGTGAAGAACCAGGAATGGCCCCAAATTCCTTAGTAGCAAAGATGAAATGTGCAGAAGCTCACCTAAGAAATCAAGGATGGGGGTAAAAAAGGACCATGTCAGGCTGACAGAGTCTCAAAAACTTACTTTCTATAAGTTACTGGAGGACATGCTCCAACAAAAAGCACAACCAGCCAGGAGCTGGTGGCTTGGCTCACACCTATAATCCTAGCTATTTAGGTGGCTGAGATCTGAGAATGGTGGTTCGAAGCTAGCCTGGGCAGGAAAGTCTGTGAAACTTTCATCTCCAGTTAGCCATCAGAAAACCAGAAGTGCTGTGGCTCAAGTGGTAGAGCGCTAGCCTTGAGCTGAAGAGCTGAGGGACAGCACGCAGGCCCAGAGTTCAAGGCCCACGACTGACCAAAAAAAAAAAAAAAAAAAGACCATGAGATAGGGAGGAAGTTCAATAGCAGACTATGTACTTCCTATATGTGAAGTTCTGGGTTCAAGTCCTAAACCCATTAAAAAAAGAAACACCATAAACCAAGAATTTTAAAAGCTGTGGGAATATAGAAAACGGGGTAGAGCAGAGAAGAGAGAAGGTGCTCTCTGGGGTGCAGTGCAGCTCCCATGCATCGTGGAATGGGTGCGCAGGAAGGGGAGGGCTCCAAGGAAAAAAGATGGAACTGATAAATTGTTTCACAAGACTGGCCATATATAAGATTCAATTGAAAGGGGCTGGGAAGGTGGCTCAGTGGTAGAGCGCTTGCCTTGCATGCTTGAGGCCCTGGGTTCGATTCCTCAGCACCACATAAGAAAAAAGCCGGAAGTGGCGCTGTGGCTCAAGTGGTAGAGCACTAGCCTTGAGCTGAAGGGCTGAGGGACAGCTCCCAGGCCCAGAGTTCAGGCCTCACAACCAGACTCAAAAAAAAAAAAAGATTCAATT